AAACCATGGGCCAATGACGTTCCATAAATATCCCCATCTTGTCCCTCAGACAGCTAACAGTTGTTCTCGCTACAGAGTAACAATCCTTTGATTGCAACCATTTCCATCCTTGATCAAACAACCCAATATCCTCCATCACTTAAACAACCCTTCAAAATCCTGATCACTAATCAGCTACAACATAAATTCATAAAGACCAAATCCCACACTGAAAAACTCATTTTTTCATCAATATTCCCTAAATTCTGCTATTGATAGCCTTTAACCAGAGCTGGGATAAATTCATATCCTCAAAAGCATATTGCTACGTCATTAAGTTCCATATTTATAAAGCAAGCTTTTTATCTAACTTAATTTGCACTATCTACTGCCACGAGTAACAATCCCAGTTAATGAATTCACAGATACCGGGCAAGAAATGGCATATATAAAGTTCGTAAAAGATCCAGAAAATCCGTGTTGACTCAGCTAAAGCTAGCATTTGATGAACTGAACTCCACAGTTGGGAAATCAGTGTACAACTGCCAAAAAAAAAAAAACTAAATTGCTTCACATGTACGTTTCCAGAAAAGCAGACTCCATAAATAATAGAACAGCATTTTCAACTTTTTTGACCCCAATAATATCCCCTAGAAGAATCTCCCTTCAAAACCCCAACTTCAAACAGCTCACAAATCACATAAAACCAAAAATCATAAATGCAAAATTGCAACACCGCAATAAAGTTAGACCAACCGCACCAAAATCCGAGCTGATTCCTAAGCTAAATGTTGAGCAAATTGATGTTTGGATAATGTGGGAAAAGTAGAAACCCTAGGCCTTTATTCTCCTTTTTCAGGGAATGCTTGTGAGAAAGAAAAAAAGTTCGAAAAAGTAAGTAATTGCGGGAGTGGGACAAGCAGCAAAGATGAGATAGATTCTGCCATTTAAGGACTGGTATAGAGAGATTTTAGCCGTACAATTTTGGCTAATAATTCCTAGAAATTAGGGTTAGTGGGTAAATGAAGATGGGACCCACTTGTTTAAGTAGTTTACAAAGGAAATATCCTTGTCACCTTAACTACTCTCTGCAGTTACCCTCGAGACCCTCAATGTGTTGCCTGACTAGCAAGTTGATCTTAAATTATTAAAAAGGCACATGATAGTCCTTCAAATTTAGTTGTACGTTTAATCCATAATGACATAAGGTGTCATGTACGCTAATAAACGTACGCGTGGCTTATTTCTATGTACAGATCTAAGTTGAGAAATAAAATCTAATTCCGAACACATGAAAGTGATGATTTATCTAAAATTGCATGCAACTTCTACTTGGACAATAAGTTGCGGATTATTAGTATAAAAAAAATTTCTTAAAATTACTATATTTAAAAATATTCAAAAAAAAAAGGTTGGTAATTAAGAAAAATGAACAAGGTACCTATAAATTACTCGCATTTAGTATATTTGCTTAATCATTTAAAATTCCATCTTATAAATTAATTTTGTTAGGAAGAGTAATCCAAGTCAATATATATTGAATATTTATTTAATTAATTTTAACGTTCTCGTATAAGCTGTTGGCTCGTTTGAGAAATAAAGCGATTGACAGTTGAATGAAACTTAATGTGTTTTAATATTATTCGAGTTTTGAGATTCCATTTAAAAACATTATTAAAATGTGTCAAATGTTCAGGCTAATACGTGATCATAGAATATTAGTGTCTCGGAATGATTGAAGACGATATGTGGAGTCTAGTCTGGTTTGAATCGTTTTCATAGGCTACATGCATGATAAATTTTGTTGAAAAATAGGAAGTTGAAGAAGTGTGGAAAATGGAGGGCTCTCTTAGTATAATAATAAAAACTTGAGGGGCTAGATTGTGAAATAAGACAAATTACGACAGATGAAAGCGCTGGATGTCCTCTCCTACCAGCTCCCAAAATCGCGCGAGAAGAAAAAGAAAAATCGCATCTTTAAGAAGAATGTTTTCTAGAGAGAGAAAATAGAGGGAGAAAATGGGTCGAAGAAGAAGGTGACAAATTTTGATAGCGTTGGGGCTGGTAATGCTGATGGGTATTGCCGTCTAGTTGAGGTTTGACTACCGGTTATCGTATTTCTTTCAGTGAAACCGAACTGTTAAGGTTTCTTTGTGAACATTTGCTTTCGACAGTGAATTTCTTCTGTTTTTTTACTTTATTTGTGGATTTGTTGTATGGATGGATGGAAAATTTACCAAAACTGAAATTTGACAGCTTCTTCAAAGGCTACAAGATCACGGTCGGAAGATATAGCAAAATGTGTAATTGGATCTTCAGATTGATCAACTTCAGTTACCTCACAATCTGTTATCCATGCAGGCCTTTTTTTTACTACATTGAGGTCGTTCACAATTTGCTTCAGCTTTTCGTGAACTCCGAGGATCAATTGGACTACTTTGAATGATTGCTGGCTTTTCTATTCTTCCCCACCATCAAAGTTTGTCGGGTATTTGCTGCTTGACATTATTATCTTCCCATGCCCAAAACTTTTCTTCGTCAAAAATCAGATCCCGACTAATGATGGTTTTCTTGGTGATAGGATTATATAGCTTGAAAGGTATGGATTGTTCACAAACACCAAGAAAAATACATTTTTCTCCCTTGTCATCGTGCCTTCTTCTTCTCATATGGGAAATGGTCATAAACGACACAACCAAATAATTTGAATTGACCAACACTTGGTTTGTGTCCATTCCAAGGTTCTTCAGGAGGCATATTTTGAACAGAATATGTAGAAATTCTGTTTACCACTTTCAGGTCAAAAAGGAAAGAAAAATTGGAATACCACTCTTCGTCAAAAGGCTTCGCACCATATTTAATATTGTCCGAATCTTCCTCATGCACAAATCGTTTTGTTTAGTTGTATAGGATGCAGTAAGTTGCCCTTTGATGCCATTTGCCACACAAATTCTGAAATTCATGTGAGTTATATTCATCTCATTGGTCTGTGCGAAGTACCCATATTGCGCTGCAAGCTTCCTTCTCTACAAGCACTTTATAATTTTTAAATGCTATAAAAGCTTCAGATATTTATTTTTTATTTTTTGAGAAAATAAACCCGTATTTTTCATCTTTAATCGTCAATGAAGTTACCGTTTACCTCCAATTAGATGTTGGATTTATTGGCCCGCAAATGTCAGAATGAACTAGCTCCAAAGCCTGTTTTCTCTCCACGGTTTTCCTGTTAGAAAAGGATCACAATGTTATTTGCTAACAACACATTCTTCACAAACTTCTTGAGGCCAATCACCATATTTTGTGTTTCCGCGTATTCAGTCCACCAAAATTTAAATGCCCATGTTGGAAATTCCATAACCAAGCTTCATCTTTCATTTTGGCAGGGAAGCAAGAATGAGCACTACTACACATAAAGGGAACATGCGATATTCCGTCATCTTGACTGGGCAAGTTCGTCTTTAAATCTGGAACAAAGAAAATATTGGAGATAATCTGAGTGTTTTCTTTGGTCCAGACTGACATTTCCTTTTCCCAGGACGGATATTATAGTGTTGTCTCCAAACTTTACTGTATTTCAATAAGATTCATCCAAGTCAAAACAATGGACTTATCTCCACACATATGATTGCTGCAGCCGGAGTCTAAATACCACAAATTTGGTGAGCTTCTTCCTTTCCATGACACGCCATTAAGAGAGAAATTTCTTCCTCTATTTCTTCATAGTTGGACATTTCATCTCGTTCTTTATTCAGGTTTGTTTGGCATTCTTGAACGATAATGATCATATTTATGACATCTATAACATTCGATATTTGATTTGCCACCGTTAGAACGATGATTGTCACGACCTCTCATTTTTCCTGCAGGGTCATTAGTATCGTGGTCCTCTTTTGATTTGTGTACGTATTGTTTCCATAGCTATTGCCGTTGTCATTCCATTTTCCATTTCCATGACCTGCAATTTTCATGTTCATCGCTGCCTGCAGTGCTTGCTTCTCATTAATTTGTCAGTTTTGTTTCTGGTCATGAATTAACAGAGATCCCTGGAGTTCATCAATATAGAGAGGGTCAATATCCTTTGGTTCCTCGATTAGTACAAACTAGGTAATTGAACCTCAGTGTCATGGATTGAAGAATTTTCTCCGCAATGGAAACATCCTCCGGTCCCTGTCTTCCTGAAATTTATACTTCTTGGATTCCCAAATCTGTTTGAAAGTATATTTGCAAAGAATTGTCTCCAAAATTGAACAATCAATTACTTGAAAGAGAGAGTTCTTTGCTTTAAGATCTTCTAACTTCGATTCTTCCACCACCCTTCTTTGTGCATCTGTCAATGAAACTCCACCTGCCGGTTCAGCTATTTCCTTTTTCTACAACTTGCCAATGCTCTTTCGACCTCAAAAAAAAAAATCCATCAACATTGCTCCAACGATTATAGTGACCATCGAAACGAGGAATAGTTCCTTATACAAATTTTTCGGCTGCCATGAGAAAAAAATTGCTGCTGCAATATTTACTTGATGAATCTGACAACAAATTGAAGTTGAGATAGAATTTTCAGGAAGGAAGTTGGGACAGAATGTTGGGAAGGAACAGGATATAATAGGTGAGTAAAATCTGTACGCTTTTTTGGAGTTAGGCTGTGGAACAGATACTATGTCTTATAGCAAGTGGAAAGACTTGCTTCTGCGAGAATGATGAATCAATAACACCTTCCTAGAGACATACTTATAGAGTCGTGGAATTCTTCATCTGGAGTTGAAGGTCGAGTTTGTCAGTCAGTCAGTCAGTCACTTCCATCAGACCTATACAACTTCCTTGTTTCATCCACCCTAGGAGTCTTGAATAGTAAACTGGACATTCTTAGATATCTACTGTCCAACTCGATGCACCTAAATATAGCATGAGTTCTTTGACACTCCTGACATCACAGCAAGAACAATAAAATTGAAATAGAGGAAAAGGGCGGCATGAGGCATAATTTCCTCTAGTACAACCCATTTGACGAAGAGAAGTAGCAGATGGCAACCACAGTAATGACTTCGCTTAACCTCAAACCCTCTCCCTTGACCCTCGAGAGAACCGCTGTGCATGGCCTCCTGTCCCTTGCTAGAACGTCCTCTTTGAGAGTCGAGGCCAGTGGCGGCAAGAAGATCAAGACCGACAAGCCTTATGGTTAGTGTTTTTCTTCCGACCTTGCAAACATTCATGCACACATCATAAAGAATAGATGTGTAACATGACTAGACAAATATAGAAAGTCCTAAGTTATGTTTATACAAGTTGGTTGACTACATAAATCATATTCATCTACTAACTAAAGCCTGTCAAGCCAAATGTAGGAATTAATGGAGGCATCGCCTTGAGAGATGATCTGGATGCTTCGGGCAGGAAGCCTAAGGTAGGTCTAAAACCATATATTCCGTTGTGAATTAGAAATCCTAATTCTATTTCATCGAGAGTATTAAATTAATAGAAAGAAATAAAGACACACGAGATTTATAGAAATTCGTCTCAATTTGAGACTGCATTCTTTTTGCCACTACAATAATTCATTATGATTAAAAGAAATTTACAAAAGAAAATTTCACACTTTTTTTCTCTTTCTGATGGTAACAAATACATAAATTCTTAAACTCCTTTAATGAAATTTTGGCGTATTAGCTCCGCGGAGTGACAATAATTAGGTTCCACAATTTAATGTCGAATAAACTTGTAAATATATGTTATGTGATTCGATGTGCATTTGTCTTATTTAGGGAAAGGGTGTACCAATTTGTTGATTTGTATGGTGCTAATGTGGATGGATACAGTCCAATTTACAACACAGATGACTGGTCACCAAGTGGTGATGTTTATGTTGGGGATATGTTTTGCTTGCTTGTTCTGCTCGATAATCAAAAACACGAAAAAACAAAAAAATAAATCTCTGATATTTAACAGTGAGTATTTTGTATGCAGGAACTACAGGTTTAGCCATCTGGGCTGTGACCTTGGTTGGTATTCTTGCTGGGGGTGCTCTTCTTCTTTACAAAACAAGTGTTCTGTATCAGTCAACAAAATATTGTCCTAGCTATGTAGCAACCAATATGTTGACAAACTGTTCAAAAGAACATATATTTTGCGGATTCTTACACAATATATATGCATGTAATTAATTTTCTGTGTTATTTTGGCATGGATTTTTTTTATATTTCCTAGATTAAATTGTCAGGTTAAAATTAAATCATTGCCTCTCGACTCACTCCCTGGCCGCCACCTATCTTCTCAGCAGAACTTAAGTTCTTATCTCTTCGATGGAAACACGTTAATGGTGAAACACAGAATTTGGCAGCAGGCATGCAAGAACATGCCCAAATTCCCGTGTCGTCTTAGTGAAATCTCAGAATAATCGAGTTCCATTCAATGAATGACACAATTTTGTGCAATTCTTGTTCCTCGACATACAATTTATCTTTTTCCATTGATGTTAATTATCATTTCTAAGTGATGCCAATACTCTTGACTTCTGACCTCACAGATGAGCAGCCAATTGATCATCCATCAACCAACAAATGGTTGAGAAATACACTCACTTGATAACATTATTAATGGTGTTTGAGCAAGAAAATGTGGCAAAGCAAAATAATATAGAGAAGAATATCAAGAATGCACGTGCATCAAGAATTCGAGACAACCAATAATTACTCTAGAGAACTCGAAACTGTACTGAGATTTACGAAGCTTGGCTGCATAATGTTTCATAATTCGTTCAGCACGTGCATCGGTAATCCTTCCATGATATGAAGAGGCATCTAAGGCTATATTACTTGAAAGTTATTAGTTCGAATCTAAAATCATCTAGAGGGAGGTGAATAAGTAATTAATACGGAATTAAAATTATCAATTAAACGTAACAAGTCACATTTTAATTGTTCTAGATGTTTAGTCAATTTTATTCTACACTAAATTGCCACAATAGTAACTAAATTAGTAAATAACATAAGATTTATTGACGGAGAAACCCCATAACTAGGTAAAAACTCTAGGACCAAACCAATAACTTCTACTATAGACAATAAGAAATTACAATATGATTCAGCCTAGAAAACCTACTGACTCGCTAATCTAATTATTACCATCTTCAAGACCCGCACATTCACTCACACCTACTCTCAATCTTCTAGAACTATCTATCTCATGTAGATCACCAAGATCACATTGTTCTTATACTCTTCTTGTGCTTGCAGTCCAGTCTCCCTCAATCTTCAGTAGTCTCTAAAAGTTATTGAGAAAATACAATCTTGATTATATCTAGGAAATGAGTGTTTTGGATTATATGAATTTAATGTTTTTTCCAATTTGTAATTGACTAATCTCAAGAATCAAATGTATTATCTCAATATTTGGATATGTTCTTGAATCTTGGAATGATATTATGAAGATATAATATAATATTCAACCACTCACAAAAACGTAATGGACATTAGGTATTTATAATATGAGGTATTTTGGTAACATAGGATAGATAGAACTTTTGAAAAACGCGAATTAGGATTTCTCAAAAAACATCGTTGCTCGAGCGAGAGGTGTGCCACTCGAGCAAGAGCCAGGTGACAATGATGCTGTTTTTTTCTACTCGAGCATCAGCTAGACAACATACTAGTGTAAATTCAACAACTATTTCTCTTTATTTCACACTCGAACCTAAAGACTTCTAATTCTTCTATACAACTCTCCAAAATGCTCATTGGCTTTTACACCTCTTTTGTAATAATCCTTACCTTTTATATAATCATTTTATCTAAAAAATTGTCAATACAACATAAGCTCTAACATTATAGAGAGCCCATGTTCAAAAGAAAGAACTTGGGCTAGGTACCCACTCATGTAAAAAACTCAATGAGCTAGAGCACCGAAGTGGTAAGTACTTGGGGGCAAGGTGAACTCCTTCACAACCAAAGCCAGTAGATCAATCAAAGTGGTAAGGAGAATAAAGAGAATCCCTTCTTTGAAATATGGAAGTGATGCCCTTAAGCCCTTTATATAGGGAGGAGGAGCATCAAAAAATCATCATGGTCACTTCTTGCTATAGTACTTGACCTTAATCTTCGTGTCATTTGTCATATAAATGGTTAGTGATTAGAATAGCGAGGTTGGCACAATGATTGCCTAAACCATAGTTCTGCAACCTAACCACCTCATTCGCCTCAGGTTTGGATGATCGGAGACAAATCTCCTCTAACCATGATTTCAATCTAGTTAGAGCTAATTACTCCTCTTAAGTGGTTAATTGAATGGTGACGAGCTGAACTCTTGCAACTTCCAAAGTGGACACATAATTATCGTTGTCAAAAGTGGCCACCGGAGGTGGGCTCTCTATATCCGAAATCAGAACTCGGGAGTGTACAAATTATAACAAGTTAATGTACCAAACAAAATACTAAAAGTAAATTTACCGTTTATTTAGCTTACTTTAGTGTAATTTATATGCATGTCGAAAGTTCTATTTATTACCGTACACAAAATTTGTTAATACTAATATTGAGTTGCCCAAAATTATTTTCAAATTTATATACCAAATCACTGTTATTGCCTTCAAATATAGCAAAAATAATTTATCATTATTTCGTCTGGGTAATTTAAAATACGGAGCACGTGATACGATGTCGCATCGGATTTTAAGTGACACCTGCACCTACACACGCACACACCATAACGTCCTCTTCAAATTAGACCGTTGAACAATTCAAAAATCAAATTAGACCGTTACAAATAACGCTCCCTTCTTTCCTGTATTTCTTCGTAACCTCTCCGTCTGTTCTCTCTCTTATTCATCCCTCTCTCTCAATAAATCTCCATATTCATGGCCGGTGAAGACGACAACAAGAAATTGACGTCATTAATAATGGAGTCGAAGCCTCTGCACCCGCTCCACCAAATAGCAGAGACCCCATCTCACAAGCTCCTCCTCAAGCAATGGCTGAAAGAAGAAGAGCTAATCCTCAACAGAATCTCCCTCAAAGCGACCCAAATCGACTCGGCCCGGAACGAGATCACACAACTCTACTGCCTCTTCTTCCTCTTCCACTCCATTGCCCTAATCCTCCTCTTCAGCGCCTCCTCTTGGGCCCCAAATGGAAAGGGCCACTTCTGTAAAAAATCCTGGATCCCATCACTCAGTTCTCTATTTTGTTCCCTAGGTATAATCTGGGCTATTCGGTACAAAACCGATGTCGAATCCCACTTGGAGAAGCTACTGGAAAGAGAGAAAGAGGATGGGCAATTGTTGGCTAAGTGCGTGGAAGAGTTGAAGAAAAAAGGTGTGGAATTCGATTTGCTAAAAGAGGTTGATGCTCTTAGGAGAGCCAAGAGTTTGCGGGTCGAGTCGAAGGCGGTCCGAAGATGGTCGAGTAGGGATTTTGTGACCCTGTTTTTCTTCACTGTTTCTTGCTTGGTTCTTGGATTCACAAGGGTTATTTTGTGTAGTTAATTTGGGAATTGGAATTTGGAAAATCTCAGGTTTTGAAATTTCAGTAGTTATCGAAGTTTGTAGGCAGAGATACTAATTCAGTTACAGATTCAGAACATATTGTTCTGATTTTTTATTTTTAAGGATGTCCCATGTACTGAATACTATCATCTTGTTAGTTTGGTGAAGTCTTGTGTTAATTTGATCTATTTTATGAGAATCTCCTTATTTTTGTTTTAAAGGTAACATGATTTGTTACTTATCAATGAGCCGAACAAAGTGGAAATCTTGCCCAATTTATGTGACATTTTAGTATAAATAATAATGTAAATTCGAACTCGTTACTGTATAACTGGTCTAACGTCATGTTTGGCTGAAGGTTTATAAATGGTTTATAATTAATCCAATCACTTTTTACTCATAAATTTAGTGAGAACTAAAAGTACCATTCACTTTACACTTTATAGCGAAGAATAATCAAGGGATAGCCTTTAACGACTAGTCTTTCACTAATATCACAAATCATGTGCTATTAGTCAAGTTTCTACCATTGTAAAATATTTAAAAAAATTTAAGAGATCCATGTTCGAGTAAGCCCAAAAAGACTCTTCAGTATGTGATAGAAATGAGTGAGTTTACATGATAAATGCCAATTGAATTTCAATGAAGAAAGCTACAAGCGGTAGCCATCATTCATGAAGATTGTCGAGTTGTTTTCAATAAAAGTGTTACGACTCATAAATAGAAACACCACGTGGCACCATATTTCAGCGGTGGGACCCAATTGAATCAGGATGTGTTTTTCTGGCCTCTGACGTGTCATCGAGGCCCTTATTCCGGGGCCATCATTGTTTAGCCGAGGCCCCATTATCCGAGGCCATTGGTAACCAAGGCCATCATTGTTAGCCGAAGCCCTGGTTCCGCGGCCATGCACTATCTGAGGCCCTTTTGCAGCTAGTGAAGATTGTTATTTATCGATTGGTTTCTTATACAACCCTGTTACATTTCTCTTGCCGGAAGCCCGAACGGTGACGTCTTGTATCGTTGAGCTCCTTCCACGTCCAGATTTTAGAGCTATCATGATCGTTGTTCGGCATTAACGTGTTGGATTAAACTTACGCATACACGAGTGGGCACTACATCTGTTGGTAACATTTTTTAGGATCAACAAAAAGCATCTCACATTTTGTTTCTTATAGTCACCTTTACATCGTTGAAAGGAACAAACACTCATGTCCTACTCCAAAAACACGTGTCTTAAGGACAAGAAAGGGGGCCATGTTTAGGCCTCTCTTAACCAAGAATTGCATGCGCATACTTGCCCAATCGCACATCATGTCGGGTTTGGTTAGCCTTTAAGCCTCATTTGTTATCAATATAAAGCAAGAACAAACATTTATGGCCATTGTCTGAATTTATGTTACCTATGTTCCACGTGAAATTCAGTCAGCTATGAGAAATCCTAATCAATTTTTGCGGAGACAATGACTTGCTAAATAGCATAATAAGTTGTCGTTTAACCTAGTTCCTAGCATTTTCGTAATGAATTTTTTTTTTAAACAACATTGTATTTGCAATTGTTCAAGTACGTACTTGTGTAATTTCACGAACAATCTAGTGTGATGGCAATAAAATGTCGTCTCCCTCTATCTCTTCCTTGTGAATTTTGCAAAATAGATGTCAATTAGTCTAATCATCGAAGAAAAGGAGCACTATGGATTCAACCGATTGTTTTTGGAACTAAATAGATGGAGCGACAATCTTTAAACTTACTTGAAAAGAAATCGAACATTTCTAAGTTTATGGCGTGTTCTTTTTGCATGCTCGATAACATTTTAAACGGTGTTTTTAGATAGAGGTTTAGACTTAAGAGGCGATACCCTAATGGGTGGTGGAGGGTACTTCGAGACGAAGAGAAAGAGGATGACCAATCACGTTACCTAAAAAATGTGCCCTTAGATGTCCCTATAATCATTTTACTTATTAAGTCATTGTTTAGTGGGAATTAAAATCTTGATTTTAATTTAAATCAAAATCAAAATCAACAAATAATTTTAATTATATTTTATGGGACTCATAATCTTTTAACCACGCATTTCATCAACTTTTATCAGTATCCATTAAAAAATCTAATTTTAATTATTGCCAAATGGGGGCTAAATTTGGTGCACTTGTTTAATCAAATCATTAGTGGTTGATTTCCATTTACATGTAGGAAACCTAACTTAAATAAGACGTCTAGAATCTTATTCCAAACATATGAAGTTCCTCTTTCTTTGTTTTCGCTCAAATATATGAGTACGATGGTTTAGCATTCAAATCTCGTGATTGCCCATTTAAATTAATAATATATGTATTAATCTTCGATTGAAAAAAAAAAATGAATCTCCACTACAAATCAAAAGGGTGTCAAAATATTATTTAAAATATAATGTGTTGCACTATCTAATATCTTAAACCAGTGGCGGACCCGGGGGGGGTCCTGAGGGGTCACATGACCCCCCAACTTTTGAGATTTTTTTTATATAAAGTCATGTTTGTTATCAATTGAAATATAAATTTTAATCTAAATCAAAGTCAACAATTAATTTTAATAATATATTTTATGAAATTCATAACTTTTTATCAAAATTTACTAAAAATTGATTTTAATCTCCACAAAAAAGGGGGCAAAATCACAATAAATTGAATTTTTCTATTTTCTCTTACTCTCTTTTACTCATTTCCTCGTGCCTTTTAACAAAATTTTAATTCTTCTAATTTTTAAAAATTTACATATAATTTCTCAACAAATTATCACATTTACTACAAATTTTCACTTTTCGGTCAAATTTTCAAGTAATTAGAACCTAAATTTGCATTTTCTCATATTAAACTGTATATATAGAATGTGCCTGAAATCATTATATCCAATTTGACTTATATTTAAAGAATTGTGTTTATTTGATTGATTATTAGTATTGAATATTAATTATACGTTTTTCCTTTCGGTTACTTGAATTGATTGTTTGTATCAAATATATTACAAGATTTTTAAACGTAAATACGCATTTTCTTATGATGAACAAAATAATAATAAAATGACTCTTCAAAATCAAATGAATAAAAATGATTACCAAAATATTAATGAAAAAAATATTTTTTAAAATGTCAATCTGCATTATCTCAAATTCAGTATTAATCTCAAAAATCAAGAACAGTATTTGATTTGTACATGATTTGATTATGTCCCCAACCTAAAATGTCTGCCTCCACCCCTGTCTTGAACTATTAAATCAAGTAGGTTAACTGATATCAAAATTCAATAAATTCAAACCAACAGTCAGGTTCTAAGATTGAATTTCGCAAACGAGCCAAACATCTTGCGAAAACACATTAATAAATCCTACATCAATTAAGTATACAAATACCGAACTACATATAAGTTTAGACTTCACTTTAATAAAATTAATTTGTCAAAACTTCGAAAGTACTCAACACATACAAACTTCCTTTTGACGATATTGTAACCTTGAGCATTTTTTAAACGTCACAAAAGTCACAATTAAATCTTAAAGTACTTTTAGAGTCCATTTAACATGACTTTTACTTTTACTTCTGCTCATTGTAGGAAGCTATCGTATGTCAATTTTCTCTGAAATATTTTCTAGTCAAATAAAATACTTGTAAAATTTAATTTAAATATATTTAAAAGTAACTTTTTAATTTCAAAATCAAGTTTTTATTTCTCAGAAACCCTATCACATGAATCCTCAGTGCTTGCCGACGGGCAAATTTAAAAAGCCAACAACTTTTTCTTTTTAAACTACGGACAAATCTAAATACGTCAATAAGATTGGCTGATTAGGCATGACAACGACTCTTAATTTGGACCCGTAGAATATGGGCCATCTTAGGCCCACCAGTCTGTGGATATCCATGTCACGTTTATTAACACCGATCCGTCTTGTAATTATTTTATTTTATAAATAAAATAAATAATTGATAAACAACGGAAAATGCGGGGTCCGGTGCTTTGCGTGTACGATTAGATCGTACAGCACTCATCACATGATAAACTGTTGCTGATTTGAATGCCCTGTGTGGGACCCATTTTTCTTTAGTCCGTACAGAGTACATGTGTGACATACACGGAGGATATTCTATATTCTAAAAGCATTTCCTAAGGTGTGTTCGAGCCGAATTATTTTTGATGAATGTATTTTGAAATAGTAGATTGATGGAAAATATGTGATTGAAAATGAGTAAAAAATGAGAATGCGAATTTTAATGTTGCTCAAACATGAGCCTAAAATTTTTTTCCAATTTAAAAAATATTAAAAAGAAGAGAAAAAAAAAATGATTTGAGTAATTTTATAATAAAAATAAATTTTCCATATTATTGACGCCTCGTTTGTTTCGCATTATTTATGCTTAAGGATTAATTTTTTGGCCTTTTTTTTTTCAACTCACGGGTCCCACTGTGAGGTGGTGAAGTCAAAAGTTGCGGTTATGGAGCAATTAACGGCTAGAATTTTCATTAAAATGAGCAAGAAAATTGGACAAAAACACGGCTGAGTCAAGCAAATATTTTTTAACAAGATTTCATTTGAGAGCAAATATTCATAAAATATTAGAAATCAAAACCCAAATTTCAACATCAACCAAATCGAATAAGTACTTATTTTAGGGGTGATGCGACACGTACATAATGAGATATCCATAATGGTGTCCATCCTCTCACATGGAGAGGGACCCACTTCGAATATATTATGTTTTATTCGAGTGGATCCCCCTGTGCATATGAGGGGTTGGACACTGTTATGAACGCCTCATTATGTAAAAGCAGCATATTCTTTATTTTAAAGTCATTTTCAATTAAAAAGCATTTAAAAAGTGTTGAACCGGACTGCCTTTATTATTGTTGCCCACTAATTCCCTCCATGGCAAGCTTGTGTGTACGCTTTTGACAAATTTTGTTCACACACAAACAAACTAAATAAACATGTAACTAATTTCTCTTGTCTTTCTATCTTATTTGC